CATCAATAAGATTGTCTTATAACAAGTAAGATTTAAACCAGAGGCCTATTACATAACAAAAGTTTTATTCGAAGTATAGCGACTTAAAATAAATGGGGAAAAAAAACTTTTAAGTAATTATGTAGTCTTCTCAATGAAATATTTTAAAACATTTTCATTCATATCCAGGTATTTCATCGCAATCATTAAAAGTACAACGTAGCTTAGGTTTAAGTATACTTTTCTTTGGGGGGGGGGGGGTACTAAGATTTGTAGACCTTTTGTCTTGATGCTCACTAGACTTATTACTAAACCAAAATATTATATTGCCCTTAATTATCTAACACAGAGAAAGGTTTGATAATTTATCATATCTATCATAAAAAAGACTTATAGTGCCATAAATATGTTAAAACAAAAAATTACTTTAGCTGGAGTCATTTGAAATATTTTAGCAAAAGCACCATCTACAAATTTGGCTTGTTACTAAACACAAAGCTACACAATGATCTAGCTAAGCTCTGTTCATTGCGGGTATCGAAATTCGAGTTTTAGCGTGATATGTTCTCCACAGTCTTTCTGTTGATCCACCGGAGGGAGAGGGCAAGTTAATTCCAATATAACGATCTAGTATTTTCGAATATAATTGTGATTATCACTATGCAACAAAAGAAGATGAAATAATTTGTTTATTTTACCAACAAAGCTCCGAGTTAGATTTATATTCTAACCAATACTGAACACAGTCATTAGAAGCATTGAGTTTTGGAACATACAGGTTGAGAAATAAGGGCGTGCATATTCGGTGACGGGACCCGAACCCATAGATTGTGAGTCGAGTGCTCTAACCACCAGACCATACCAATATCAGTAATAAAAAAAATATAAAAATTACAAAAAACCGTGTTGTGGCTGTGGATGCACTGTAAGGGTAGGGATCAAACCCCACTTTTCGAACAGTCAAGCATTGTCTAAAAGTTGACGGTAGATGCTGTTGACTAACACCTTAGTCTATCAGTTCAAAATTATGAGCGGTTATCGTAGACAATCCTGTCCTGGAGCTCGTTTAAGTGAATATCTGAAACAGTCTTTCGAGTATCACTGTCTAACATACGAGTGTATAGCACGACCAACTTGTTCCAAATTTTAGGAATATCGCTTAAACTCACCATTCAATTGATTAGGAAGAAAAATTTTTAATTTTAGAAATATCATTCTCTTTAGGAATAATTCAAAAGATTGGAAACAAAAAGGAAGAACAAATGAACTGTTTTGTTATTAAGTGCAATGTTACACAATAGACTATCCGTGGTTTTAGGCCTTCAGACTTATTGTAGCTAAGCCACTATGGGGCGATGAAAAGAAACTGATTTTGTTTTGTTGAATTTCACACAAAGCTACTCCAGGGCTATCTGCCATTAATGTTGATGTGATAGATAAGGCAGCTAGTTAACGTCAGCCACCGCTAACTCCTGGGCTACTCTAATTGAATAATGTGATTCGACTGCCACTCCTATAAATTCTAGCGTGTTTTTTCTTTCTTTTTTATGGTAACGGGGCGAGATCCGAAAAACGGGTTTTCGCTATTTTAACGAGACAGACAGCATGAAATAAATACGTATGCTGTTGCTGTCTGTACATAGGGTTTCCGAAAATTCTGACATATTACTTATAGGTGATTATACTTGTTATGGTAAACAACTACATACAGTCTGCCCTTCACACATGACAAAGCTACTGTTGCTGTCTTGTGGGTTTAGCTTGTATTAGGTCACATCATTTTCGGACAACTGTATGCCAGAAGACCGCTGGTCTAACTCATGCCTAAGGCTCCAATAACAAATACTGAAACATTTGATTTTTTAATGGAGATCGTAATGAACAGTTAATATAATCAAAATTATTTACGTAGCATGATAGCACAAGTAAAAACGTATGTTTAAATAAACAACTATTTTACGTGTTTTATCCTTGTATTTGGAGCTTCTTTAAACTGTGCGAGAAACGTGGTCATTGAAGGTCACAGAACACTAATTGAGACCCAAGAAATAAGTTGTAATGAAATATTTATTAAACTTTCTCTTCTCTTTACAATATACTTCAATTTTCCTTTTTTTTTTAGATAAAGAAAAACACCAATTGGCGGTACATCATGTCTCAGAATGATTCATTTTCGTCAGAACTTGTGTACCTCAACTTTAGAAAAACAACGTTCAAACCTACACATATGACTAGATAAGTTTTTACTTATGTGAAATATTATTCCCGTTATATAAAAAGTATCGCACACAAAAAATAGTAATAAGAAATAACAAACATTTGAATAACGTCACTTTATATATATATATTTTGTTTTCAAAACACACCACCCTAATATCCACAACTGCCCACCAGAGGGATCATCAATAATAGGTTGTTGTGTGGCGTTGTATACAACAGGAATAACAATTGAAGAAAACGAAATCGGTAATTTAACATATCAAGTACATTGTGCTGCAAATGTCAGAAAAATTGTCACACACACACACACTTAGAAATTTTGTGATAAGTTTCCATTTTTAGTCACATATATTCTTTACCAAACAACGACAATTTTTTAACATTTTCGGAATAGATACTGAACATTTTGAACACCAAACATCGGGTGTGGACCGATCAATTTAAGCACTTTAGTTAATAATTTAGAATTCTTTTTAAGTACTTCAAATTTAACAATAAAAGACACACCAGATACATCTATATAAATCAAATGCTTTATCTTCTCTTGTAATGGCCCAAAAAATCGGACTTTTGGACAGTGTGTATATTATCATTCCAATAAGAAAATAAACGTGTACCAGCAATGGTTAAATTAACCTTCTGGCTACTGATAATCTTAATAAATGTTAATAAACAACTATTTATAGAGTCAAGTCAAAACTAAAACGTCTTTCATATTATGTACATGGAAATAAATCTTTTACAAATTATTTACAAAAAATAACTAACACAAACCTTAACTTTATGTAATTATGATAATCCTTGTTATTAAAATTTTCATTTATCAATTGTAATTAACTTAAAATATTAATTAATATGAACAAAAAGTTTTATAAGTGTTCTGGCTGTCTGTTTTACATTAGTCAACAATTATGTTTATTTAAAAAAAGTATAAAAATATTCAGAATCCGAGAGATTAGTCAAGTTTGGTTTAAGTAATATTTTACAAATTTACTGGACCATCTAGTGAGAATACTTTTAAAAAAATGTTTCAATGATTCGGTAAAAGCTAGGTATAAATTAAAAGAATTTACAGTTAATTGGCTGGACTGGATTTTAAGAGTACAATCATTTATTAAAATATATCAATATCTAGGAAATATACTGGATTGATTAATGACATTATTTTTAGAAACAATATTTTCAATGACCTGGTAAAGTCTAAGTTAAAACTACAGCTTATATTTAAGTCATACAAATCACTTGTAGAATACAAAGATTTATTAAAATATATTTCATACATATACCCTTTTCACACACAGTAAGTCTTAAAACCTTCTACAGATCTTCGGACGTGGGCTGATACGAAGGAGATGGAACCCTATTCGAGAGTGTAACTTAAAAAATAATAATACAAAATCTTCAGCTAGTAGTAGTAATTTATTAATACTGTTATTTCAAAGTAACAAAAATATTTACCTGAATCTCAAGGTTTCTAGTGTGGAAGTGCAAAGGTCTAGAATGTTTGAAATGATGTTTAACTCACACAGAGCATTAAACTAGAATTGAATCTCAAGGTTTCTAGTGTGGAAGTACAAAGGTCTAGAATGTTTGAAATGATGTTTAACTCACACAGAGCATTAAGCTAGAACTGAATCTCAAGGTTTCTAGTGTGGAAGTACAAAGGTCTAGAATGTTTGAAATGATGTTTAACTCACACAGAGCATTAAGCTAGAAACTGAACATCTTACACACAAATAAAAATTGATTCAACACCAAAGTAGATTTCTTTTGTATGCAAATAAAAACTAAGTTTTTAGACGAAATAGTTTACTTTCATAGTATTCTAATCCAATCCCAAACACACACACTCAAACACATACAGTGCCATGTCAAGGCAATTGTTTTTTGCAAAGAAAAAAAAACCTCTTATAATAATTTTTTTTGAAAATTATCTCGTATATATACCAGAAAAAATAAAAACTAATTTTTCATGATTTCTAGCAACATATCCATGTAAAACTATCTACAAATTCAATTTTAGCATTATGTGCTTCTTCGCAAAACTTTCAGCCATTTGTTTTACACATTCTAATTTCATAAAAATCTGTCAAAAACAAATGACACACACACATGTTGAACATTTTAAAAGTAGTTCATATATATATCTATCTTGTGTGAATCAATTCACATAAAAAACAACAATCATCTCTAACAAACACTTGCACCACTTTGAGTTTGTCAAGCATCTTACAAAAACGTTCTAGTTAGGCTTAAAAAATAGTCATGTGACAGCAATGGTGACTTTAGTTAAGATCTTATCAATCAATGAGATCTATTTGTACAAATATACACAGCAGTAGGTCTTTCACTAAAACTATAACCTGAAGACGATGAAGAGTCCCAATGATTTCGTGAAAGTGAAATGAAGAAACTTGTCGGACAGTAGGAACTGATGTTGGTAGATGACAATTTTTAGAAGCAAGATACTAGATACTAACTTCCCTAATTCTGTTAATCTTTCTCTTCAGTTCAGTGAGAGTACATAATAACCTACAAATGACCAAGTTGTTTTTATCTAGGTAGTAACACACTATCCTTTCATCATTTAGAAAAGCGAACATAGTGATCTGACTGGTGTGCGAATGCAGGATGTGCTAGAGTTGTTCGTAAAGAATCATTGTGTTCTTCGAGGGAAGTCTGAGCATAGTGAAGCACCAAACTTTTCAATGTCGGATGGATATTATACGGCTCTGCAAACCCGTACCCCTTCTCCGTCTTATGGATCAGACAGTGGCCGATCTTGCCATCAGCTCTGTATACAAACAAAAATCAAACACTTTTACCTTCCGACAACAAAAAGTATGTATTTTAACAAATAAGATGTTATTTGAAACAAATATTACTATCATACAACACAGTTAAATTCACGATCAACAAAGAAACAGAATGAAAATAAATGTTATTAATAATTTCTTTTTCAATGGAAACTGAGCTTGAACCCACATATACATAAAATAACTTTACAAAGTTTGGAGAATAATACAAATTATATCAATCAATCTTAATCACACAGAGAAAAAACAAAGGTGTTTCCAAGTTGTCTGTTTTAGGTGAGGACAGAATAAGCATTATTACAAAGTCTGGTGAACATTTCAAAATATTACCTGTATAACAAAGAGCCTGAAAATATTATAGCAAATATATGTTACAAACATATTTACAGTGTCTTTAGACTGTAAGCGGTATCGTACCATCTATACTGAGGGACTGACTTATAATGCACCCACAGCTTGAAGAGCAGGGAATACTTGTAGTGTTGCATAGATTTGAACCTGGCTCACCAATTTTGATATCTAGAACTCTGTCACAAGGCCAAACAGTGGCTTGTAAGTGAGAAACCCCTCATTGGTGGTCAAACATTTACTAACACGTGAATTAATGTCTTTTATTATAACCTCGTTGAAATTGTAAATTTTAGTGAGAAGGAAATATTATCCCTACTCTATCATCTGGTTTGTCATTCGCCACCAATTTAGATCTGCATGAAATCCTACCTCTCATACATAAACTTGGACATGAACAAATGGAAAAACAAAAAAATAGACTTTTTGGCAAGTATAAAAAATTATCTTGAACAGCTTATATACCGAGTAATCCAGAAAAATAATTCAGTAGCATTAGGTTAAATATTTTTTTAAATACATAAATATAGGTTTATTCTAGTGAGTAGAAGATAGAAGAACCATATGTGTAAATTAAAACCAAACCATTGCACAGAACTTTTCAGATGCCACAAGACTACCAAAATCATCATTTCTGGTTAATATAAGTAAGGGATTTAACTGAATTGTGAAATACAACACATCTAACTTTCAGCACTTTGAAAATACCTCAGTTACTTATTTTTGTGGAGAGGAAACATTTGTTACGAAACAGTTTATGCTACATTTTTTAATATAAAATGCATTAAATCAAATTATAACGATGAAGAAAGCATCTATTTAGTTTAATTACATTTAAAAAATGTGGCATCCAGTGTATGGATGCTGTTACGTGATAGCTAAGTTTTAGAATATATCAATTAGACAGACTTACACTATTGACAATGCAAACTGGCCGGTACGACTGTTACGGATGAGAAAGGTACCATTAAGCTTTCCACTAAGCAAGTTCTCAGCTTGTTGCCTTGAGCACTCACTCACAAACCACGTGGACTCGTCATGGTGGAGCAAGTTGTCATAATCCTGAACAAAAGCCGAATCTCTGGAAAAAGAAATTATGTTTGTTTTTAAACCTGTAATAATTTCTTTAAACTAATAATCATCCAGTACCGGTAGGCAGAGCTCACATATTGCATCAGGTTGAGAAAGTTTGCCTATTACAACACTCAAAACAACAAAATCACTTATTTCCTTTGTAAAATGTTAATATTGGTTTCATTCTATGAGACTCATACATTATTACGAAGCCTGTAATTGATACACAAGTAGTTTGGTTCATTAACAGTTTACTAAAACTTGTTTAAAAAAGATATGTAACCTCCACTGGTAATTGTAAGGTTAAAATAAATTATTATATAATCAAAATCGAGTTTTTTTATAGTTTCATTGTCAAGCCAAATGAAGTTAATGAGCCTTTACAGAATGACATTAATACAAAATTCTGAGCATATCTAAAAAAAGTAAGTTTAATTGTGAATGTATATCCGTTCTTCGACGAATTCTTGCTTATCGTTTTAAATCTGTTAGGTATGTCACAAACAACGGAAAAACAGACAATACCTTGACAGATCTTTAGCATCTGCTGACGAATCCTGAAGTAATTTGTCAATTCTTTCTTTCTTCAATCCTTTGCTTAACAACCACCTAGAAACAAAGATTAGATGAACACTTGTTACTGGACATCAGTTCAAGCACTTAATAGTTTAATAATGCAACTTAGAAGGTTTTGTGAATCTAAGTTAAATAGATTTTCAAAGAGATTATCCTAAAAAAGTAAAATTTACATCACCGTTAAGGATTGGTACTCCAAAAGACCCATCATATGCAACTTAGGTTATACAAAGAAAAGATAAAACAGTAGAATGTTTATGAAACATTCACCTTGCACAATGTTAAAAAATGTTAATCTTTGCTTAGCTGACACATTGGAATGTTACTTTCATCTGCTCAATTAATGTTTAGTTTTTCAAGAAAGTACATAAAATGATTTTCAATAACATGAGTAACTGATCATTTATATCATAATGATGTAATCAAACACTTAAGGCCTAGCTTGTTACTTGATTCTTTATACAGAAACTTAACTTCACACAAACAAACAAAGGCTGCCTTCAACAAACTGCAAGTAACAGTAGAGCTGACCAATTAACTTGATTAATTGGTATAATAAATTATGTACTTCGATTAGTTACAACAAAAATAAAATATTAAACTGATTTATGTCACAAAAACAACCAACTAATTGAAGTTTGCCATTATAAGTTTTCCTCAACATTTTGATTAATTTGAGATTTTTCAGTTTAATCAAATTAATTTCATGAAAATAATAAACTAATCAACAATACTTTTTCCAATATTACTCTGTTCTACTAATTCAAGTCTCATGAATACAATCAAATACTGAGCCTGATGAATCACATTCCACTAATTGCCCAGCTCCAAATTGTAGAGTGACAAAAAAATATTGAACTTTAGTCAAAAGTTGACGAAAATTGGTCATAAAGGTGTCAAAAACTTAGATGGACAGGTTTATTTATCATTAAAATCACAACCACCTTAATTTTTTGCTGTTTTTTATTATCATTTGTGAAGGATTAACTATTCTAACAGTGTATATATAATCAATTATATCCGTCATGAGACAAAAGTATTAGGCTTATTTTTTTATGTTCTTTATTTGGCCCCTTAGAGTAAGTAGAAGAGCATATAATGGCATTTCAACCACACTATATCTGCCGTATCAACTGGTGTTGATGTTTCACTTAATATCAGAGCTCAATAGGGTGGGTGGGATATGACCAACATGGCAGTGGTCAGAATGGCAATTATATAAGCCACTTGGAATAACAACCATTATGTTTTGAATGCTTTTTCCTAATACAGCATGTATACTTTTTAGTACACATAAAATACAAGCACATTACAGAAAATCACCTACGTTTGATACTGTTCCCGTTGCTTGTACAGCTGAATGATCTCAGGCTTCAAAGAATTCATCTCACGATCTAATGTTCGATTATATGCGGCTAGGTGTTTTAAATCATTCTCCAGCTGAGTTTTACTTTCCTGTATTGTGCGTAGCCTCTTCTTCAGAAGGACAAAATTTTCAGCAAGGCTTCAAAAAATTAAAGACAGCTGTTAGATTCAAGTTCTGGTGTAAAATAAAACTTTGAATATTAAAGATATTCAAAATGTCCCTTGGTGTTTAACAAGGTAATAGACAGAGGCTCTTTATCATTACATCGTTTTTAGCAATAATGCATCATTTTAAAATGCCCTAAAAAAACAAAAACTTTATACTGTGATCATCTTATTAAACTTTTACAATTAAACCAATAGAAAACCTCTTTATTTGTTACATAAGTATAACATCCATGTTGAAGTAATAAAGGTCAAAATGTTAAAAGCATATTTTTGAATCAACTTGTATTTTCAATATTTCTAATTATAAAACTAACAAGAAAGCTTCTAATACACAGTCTTCTCAAAGCCAATGTATAAATGGTCACTGATTTTTGGCAATATCAGAGTTTAAATGGCTGCCCACCACTGGACACTGCACATACCACTGTTACAACAGAGGAGATCACATGACACTGGTGGCACGTCATGGGATTCTCGAAGGATCTTGACTTTTCCTGGGAACTCTAGTCTTTTCTGGGCACCCTCTATTTTGGTATATAAGCCCGGCAAATAAAGGGGAGAGAATAATTACAGATAGACAGATAATTGAGTCAAGCGAGCGGTAGTGACCGTAAGTAAAGTGCGTGAATCATTGTGAATTATAGTGTGTGTTTAAGTTAAAGTATCTGTGAAAATTAAGTGTATTGAGAAATAATAAACTAGTTTTATTTAAGAAAGGACTTGTATCGCTGAAGTTCCTCGGGAAGAATTTATACCGGAAATTAACAAACGAGCAGAGACGTAACACCACAATCCAATAGTCTAATTATTTTTTGATAAATAATCATCGACTCATTGAACGTTATAAAAAGTAAAATATTTCTCATGTAATACTGGTTTATTATTAAACAGAATAACAACAACCATTGATGTTACACTGGGACAGAAATATATAGATTGTCTTTGGTATCTTTACATCATCAGGATAGAAATAAGGGTATAAGAAGCTATACCAATTTTTGTTTGTTTGTCTGAATTGTAGAATTTACACACCATGTTCTACTAAATGAAACATAATACTCAAAGTCAAAAATTTGTTTCTCCTGGAATTCTTAGGCAAACTATGCATAACATATTGCAGATTTTGAACGGATGTAATCATGGGAAGGCTGCGAAGTCAACAGAACCCATCTGCTGATATAATAATGGGAAGGCTGCTAGTCAACCAGAACCCTCTGCCGATATAATAATGGGAAGGCTGCTAGTCAACAGAACCCACTGCTGATATAATAAATGGGAAGGCTGCTAGTCAACAGAACCCACTGCTGATATAATAAATGGGAAGGCTGCTAATCAACAGAACCCACTGCTGATATAATAAAAGGGAAGGCTGCTAGTCAACAAAACCCACTGCCAATGTCTGGGCTATTCTCATCTGAGCAAATAGTGAGATTTGACAACAGGGTGCAAACTATGAACCTGGAAATTTACAATTCAGCTGGGCTGAGCTAATATTCAGTAAGACAAAAAAGTTTTCTTCTGGCAACTATCACGTCACCTAGTTATGAAAAACAAAAGTGAAGGCCTTGCCTTTCAATTTACCGAAATGTAGTAGAATAAATAAAGTTTACATAATATATATATGTATGATCATAAATAACTGATATACCAGCTGATAAGAGTGTTTATTTTGGTAATCAATCAATTGTTTCTAGCTGTGTATGTTGGTGAATACACAAAAACACACACACACACACACAATAAGTTTGCTACATTTAAATAAAAGATTTGCACAAGCTAATACAGTGATGTGTGTGAACCACATGCCGAATACCCACATATTTAAACCACAGGAACATGCTGAATACACACATATTTAAACCACAGGAACATGCTGAATACACACATATTTGAACCACAGGAACATGGTGAATGCATGCATACTTGGACCATAGAAACATGCTGAATACACACATATTTAAACTACAGGTACATGTTGAATACGTGTATATTTGAACTGCATGAACATGTGAAATACACATGTTTAAACCACAGGAACATGCAAAATACACGCATATTTGAACCACAGGAACATGGTGAATACCCACATATTTGAACCACAGGAACATGCCAAATACCTCCATATTTGAACCACAGGAATATGCTGAATACCTGCATATTTGAACCAATCATTCAACAGTGCAATGTTGCCATTACAAAACTTATGGGCAGAGACATCTGCCACAGCCTCTTTGTATAGATAAACCAGTTGAACAATAGAGCTATTAGACAAAAACCTTAAAATAAAAGAAACTTCTATGTTCTCCACAGAAGTGGAATAAAGAATAACTTGTTTTACCCTTTCAGCACAGACAGATGTGATTACCACCTGCTTGACTGGGAAAGGACATTTATATATGCAACAATACATATGGCAACTCTAAGCATTCATTACAAACCTTGGTAAGATTTTGTTAAAGTTTATAAGTGTCTTTTACACAAAGAATGACATGATTCTAATTACGTGTTTCTAATAAAAATGTTATTTATCTGTAGTAGTTATTTGTACTTAGACTGTGAATGGTTCGAGTACAAGGTTATTGTCATTTCAAGTATAAAAATACCTTTCTTCATCTTATAGTTTTCATATTTTATTTGCATAATCTCAAGAACCACCCTAAATAAATATCAAAATTTTTTTAAGGTAAATGTTTATATTTTATTTTTCATTTTCTCTATCATATCACTAACTCTGGTTATTATCATCAACATACAATGCAATGAAATGATTAAAATTAGGAAATAGGAAAAACGTACATACGTTTGTAGAATATCTTTAAAGACTTATCTTTTGTTATATTTGTAATTTCAGATACTTTCCTTTTCACATATAGCTAATTTTTAATGTTTTATTTTCCTTTCTTGTCCTTTACCATTTATTCTTCATCTCAATACAAGTCAACAGTGCTCTCGCACAATATTTTAGTGTCTCTGGCAGATATTCACAACCCTTCAGCAAATGTTTGTGTAATATCATGAGCCTTGAGAATTGACACAAAATATGATGTATATTTTTAAATCTTTAAACCTCTTAATTATGCATAGGGGGACAAAATATCTGGGTTCACATCACAATTTGAGAATCAAATAACCCCAGTTGTGAAACACTTTCTTCTTTGCTTAGCATAACATATTTCTTTCCCTTGTATGTCTTTGGTCTGCTTAAATACGAACTTGGAAGCTGACATCCACATACAGTGGAGAGTCTGTGAAAAATACGTCACAAGTAGTGGACTGTGTTTTGCAGAAGCTTGTTACAATGTAAATTGTAGTGACAGCCAATACTACATAATCACTGTTATAAGTATGAGCAACACTTACAAAAAGAGAGGTATTTCTAGGAGATCCACAATGCCTGAAGAATAATTAATCTATGTTTGTACATAACAACTTCTTTCCTCCACCAACTGTGATGTCGTGGCAAGAGAAGACTTCCAGATTCATAGACAATAGAACTTTACAAAACTCTGAGTATTAATCGGTCAGATGTTAATTCTTTTGAAAATTTAAAGTGGGTCTTTTCTTAAGCTTACCACTTATAGACGCACCACGTAATTAGTCAGAATTTATATCTTGTTGAGAAAAAAAGGTATTTTTATATTTCAGGTATCATACTACTGGTATTCTCACTCTACGATCCACTTATGTAGTCAGAATTGTGCATAAACATACAAAAGAAGGAGCTCGATACAAGCATATCTTTACATATTCTTGTACTTGTAGAACTGGAAAACATTTTGAACACTCACCTGGTCATTTCATGCTGCATGGCTTCTTTCTGATGCTCAGCATGCAATTCAATCTGTTCTTCAAACACTGCTACTGTTTCATTGAAGGCATCCAGGGCTTGCCGCTGCAGCTGAATTTCCTGCAAAGTCTTGTTGTAGTCTTCATAAAACTGGTCATACTGTTTAGTTTTATGGAGATACTCCTTGTTGACTTCCATTAGCTTCTGAGCTACTATCTCTAAATCAACTGAGTTCTCCTCTTCATCTTCTGCCTAAAACACAAAAATTGAAAACCAAAAATATAAGATGTTTATTTTTTCACTTATCTAACAACTACTATATTCAAGATATAGGTTTTGTTTGTTTGTTGTAGCTTGTATAATGCTACTGGAAGGCTACCTGCACTAGCCCTCCCTAATTCTGTAGTGATAGATCAGTGGGGAAGCAGTTAATCAACACCAACTCTTGGACTACTCTTGTCAGACTGATCAGTAGAATTTAATTGACACTCTTCACCACCTACACCAACTGTTGGGCTACTCTTGTCAGACTGAACAGTAGAATTTAATTGACACTCTTCAGCACATACACCAACTGTTGGGCTACTCTTGTCAGACTGAACAGTAGAATTTAATTGACACTCTTCACCACCTACACCAACTGTTGGGCTACTCTTGTCAGACTGAACAGTATAATTTAATTGACACTCTTCACCACCTACACCAACTGTTGGGCTACTCTTGTCAGACTGAACAGTAGAATTTAATTGACACTCTTTTAATGCACCCATGGACACAAAGTGCAGAACATATTTTTTGAGGGGGTGGGGGTTGAACCACATAACTTTGGATCCATAGTCTGACACACTGACTGCTAGGCAACACTCAATCCACAAGATATAGGAAACTTGGCTGAATATTAAACATTGTTTAACACCCAAACTTGGGTGGGAAAGAATGAAGTGAAGGAAAATAGTCGAAACTAAAAGGAAGATTATAAAAAAAAGATGGCAGTTTTAATGGCTATAAGGTAGCAATTAATATAGTTCGGACATAAAAACTCAAGTTATACAAAGAAACACCATTAATAATATAATTCTAGAGAAATTCATCATTACACCTGAGGTACTGAAAATTTTGTTTCAAACAGTGGCTTATTTGGCTACCTGGTCATGAAGATAGCTAATCAAATCACGAGACTTACACACTTTTGAGAATCAGAATCAAAACATGTCACACTGAATGTGTTAAT